GCCGCCCATCACACTCAGACTGATCGTTCCCGCTTCACAATGCGGCTCCCTGATCGGCAAAGGTGGTTCTAAGATCAAAGAAATTCGGGAGGTCACCGGCGCCTCTATTCAGGTCGCTTCCGAGATGCTGCCTAACTCGACGGAACGTGCAGTGACCATATCCGGTACCAGCGAGGCGATCACGCAATGCATATATCATATCTGCTGCGTTATGCTAGAGGTACGTATCATCGTCCTGCGACCTGTGACATTTGATTATTCTAATTTTGTAATTCACATTTCAAAGTTGACTCTATAGAAATTGTCGCTCGGAACGACCGTAATGAAGATAATTCGCATAAATGTGATTATTCAAGAGTGATTATTCATTAGCTACGATATACCTTGAAACATTCATATTGTATCTCTGCTTACGAATTATAATTCTACATCGAGTTACACAGTATTTATATCATATTTACTTTTGAAAAAATAATCGCGATTTTATCGAATTTATTAAAAATTAAAGTAATCTATTAAAGTCCACTTACTGATTACTAATACAAATTTACACTTAAAATTCCTTGTACCATTTACACAAGTCTTTTTTTTGAAAGAAGTGTATTTCTTGTTATCAAGGCTTTCAAACATGAAACTGTTCTTTTTTGTTTTTTAATTCGAGTCACATGTTACATTTTTGGACTTTAAAGAGCCATCTTTTTGACGGACAACACGGGCAACAACCGCACCAAATGTAATGGCTCGATCGGTGTATTCGCACTCGTGCGTGTGTTTTTTTCTGTTTCAGTCCCCTCCCAAAGGTGCCACGATCCCTTATCGCCCCAAACCCCAAGTCGGTGGGCCAGTGATCCTGGCTGGTGGGCAAGCCTACACCATCCAGGGTAATTACGCGGTGCCCGCCCACTCGGACGTAAGTACAGTATTACCATTGCCCGCGCCCGCTGCCGGGCCCACCCCGCCCTCGCTGAACACCCAAACTTTGACGACCTCGCCCTTCGCGGCCCACCCCTCGTCCTCGGCCTTCGCCGCTTCTCACGGGCACCCGCTCCTATCCACGGCCCATCTTACGACCCCACATCATCCTCTCCACCCAAGCCCCTTACACGCCAGCGTGGCAGGCCTCGCCGACCCCCTGCTGAAGAGTGGACACTTGCAGGCAGCCCTCCCGCCCGCACACCTCGTGGCAGACGCCGTAAGTCTTTTGTTTTTCGTGATCCACCCTCTCCCGTACTACCCCGTCTCGATCACCACCCCGGCTACCACATACCACCTTCCGGACTAACATATACGATGGATTTCCGTTCCACTTGTCCAGAAAGATCGATACATCTCCCCGTTTCAGTGTTCCCTCACTGTACACTGGTCCTTAATATATCCAGCAAAACTTCAAACTGGCGACCTCGGCAGATGATTCGAAGTTGGAATGGATTGGAAAAAGAGTCAGGTTTATGGAAAAACAAAGTTATTTATTTTTTTTTTTTAATTATGTAATTCTAACTAAAATATTACGATGTAATTCTACGAAAATATTATTAGAAACATCCGAGAATTAAGAAATTGATATTTGATATTTGATGAAGAATTGATATTTTTCTTATTTTTCATTATATTTTAATATCCAGATTCATTAGGTTTTTCCATTAGTTATAGAAGGAGAAATCACTTGCGCAACGAATCTACGCTTGTTTGTGGTATTAGTAGGATTAATTTGCGGTTAAGTTAATGCGCAATCGGAGAGGGTAGAAAGTTTTATAGACGAATGGTCAAGCGTGTAGTTGCAACAGTGACTAAACGGTGATTTTCGTTAAACAGCATGGTGGCTTGTTTTGAGAACTTCATAGATTAACGGAGGTTTTATTCAATCGCGATTTTGTTGATCTTTTCTACATTTTAATTTTTTTCTTTTCTTCAATCATTACTTCATTGGAGCAACCTGAATAACGTGAATCTTGACTGTAATGAGAGATTTTATGAACATTATAACTTCTCATTTGAAATTTCGAAAGATATAACGTTTTGCAAGATAATTATAATGTATCGTTTATTGCGTCTGTAGATGATTTATTTCCAGTTATATAAATCTTATGCTAAAAATTATCTTTCTGTCTCATTAATGAGTAAAATAATTTTCAGATGGATTGAAATTATTCCCGCGTATCTCATTACTTAGATACCACAATGCAGTGGTGTGAGGGAATTTATACTGACTTTAGCGTTCTAAACTCTGTTCCAATTTCCATCAAATGCCATGGAAGCTCATAATATGTTTATCAATATATCTCACTTTATCTAGGTCACTTGGTCCTCTTCCTCTTGAAGCTCTTTGCTGTCTTCTGTCTCCCTCCGCGTATATGCATCAATTACCTTGGCTTTCTGCTCGATATCCCCGTACGGTCTCGAGCTTTCTGTCCAGGAATATTCGCAACGTCTTGCAAGTTGTTCTCGACTGCGTGAAGACTGCGAAAGAATCTTGTTGCACGATTAGCCAAGACCGTACATATACCTTCGAATGTTTTCTGGTCGCGTGACTTCAATTGCAGAAATGTCTGATTAAACATAACATGGAATGAAATAAGACACTCTGTAATTATATTTAATAATAACCTCCAACACTGATACTACATCAGAAACTAACTTTTGCCATACTTGGCCGCGGGAGGTTTCTTTCGTTAAAGATACAGAACGTTCGCGATCAGTTTTTTCATTAGTTAAAGAGAGAGAGGGAGAGAGATTATTTTTACAAGTTCATATGAGTTCGATATTTTAATAGCGATTTCTTTTCTTATTTACAGAAGAGACGGGCATCTTCTGGTGATTTTATAATATCGATGAAGTCACACGAATTTTGCCAGCTTTGCTTTATATGTGATCCGCACGTGCCATTACGTGCATGCTTTCCTCTCTGAATTAATTTAATTTCTTTAATTTCTTTTTTTTTTCCAAGTTCTATAGACGTTCACTGATGCTTCTTCACGAGCTCGACCCGAGCCTGTGTGAAACACATGTTTTCCTTCTGTATGCTTGCGTTTGGTAATGGGTTGATCATTTGAAGAATCGCTTGCTGTCCTTCACAATGCATAGAGAAATTCGACGATGCATGTTATGTAAAAAGAGTGCAACTGCACGACGTAATATTATAAACTCTGATACCATATTGAAGTGCAAACAGAGAATTTATATTACCCAATCGTAACTTGAATATTTCTTTTTTTGCCGTCATGAAAATTTACTTAACGACTGACTATTGTTTGCACGACTACGTTCGATTTTGACGATTTTATTATATTTACAAGCGACGTGTCTGACTTGATTTCCGATTTTTTCAACTTTATCGAGATCAGTTTCACTCTAAATTTTAATATTGGCAATCAAACTGCGATTTCAAGTCTGTATATTTATCTGCAACTTGGTATCTGAAAAGTTTTGGTCGTGCACTTAATCACTGTATTTATATCGTTCCATTGATGATCGTATTGAAACTATCAGTTAGCTGTTTCATTCTTTTATGTATAATCTACCTTTCTCTCCTATCGTTCATGTTTATTTTTAGATGAGAGAAATTTTTAGATGAGAGAAACAGGATATATATATATATATATATATATATATATATATATATATGCACAGTAGAGTTGATCGGTCTCTGTAACATGCATTCGACACAGACGTACTGCATCGAGCAGATAAATAGCCCAGTTTTCTCGATACGATCATCGTCCGAGAGCGGCAATTTGTGCGCTCTCTCGGAAGGAACTTGGAGGCGAAATGGGGATTTGTTCCGAGCCTCGCGCCGAACGATCGGGCCTGCTTAGCATGAATGCTTGCTCACGGGTCGCACAATGGATTCGTCATGGCTTGTCGTTGGATTCGGTCAGGGAAAGAGAGAGAGAGAGAAACGTATAGAAGGTCCCAGATGTGGCCGCTACACAAGTCTCAACGAACGATCAATGAGGAAACCAATCACCAAACAGCCGTCGCTGTAATTCCGGGCTACCATGGTAGTGCTTTGAAAATCCACTCATCCGACCGATCAATCGGCAGATGCCATGAAATGTCATCCTGATAAATGCCCGTATGATCAATTGAAATGTTTTCAATAGGAAATTTCATCATTCGAGTACGCTCGTATCATTCCTTTAATTATATATAGCGTTTTTTTGGGGGGGGGAGGAGGGAGGTAGTCTAATTTAGTAGAAAGGTTGTTTTGTTTTGTATGAAACTTTATATTTGGATGTCAAAATATCAAAATGTCAGCCTGTCAGATCTGGCTTTAATCTTCTTTTTATGATGATTAAATTTCATGCGCTTTGAAAACATAAGCGTAAATTAAATTTTACGTTTTAAGTTAAATTACAGATACCAAGTCGAAACTCACTTTTTTTTATTTATTCCGCCTTCAATGTGTTGAATTGTATCAAGTGTACATGTATCTATTTTAAAGGTGAAAACGCACATCGCGTTTTTAAAGGGAAAATTGTAATCATTAATCGAATCTTTGGCGAAACTTTTGAGGTCGACGCAAATGTTTTGACAAAGCATTATCAGGATGGCGTGTCGTCGTGTCTCACCTTCTGTCCTATCTTCTCTTTCTGTGCGCTCTTCAACGACCGACGTCCGACACGGAGCCCGACTTCCTCGAGTCCGATTTGCTACCCGGATATGAAACGAACGAACGCGAAATGCGCGGGAACGCGTCCATATCATGATACATTCCATTATTCACGAATATATTGCGGCTTAACCAATTCTTTTGTTATCCTTTTTTGTGTTCTTTTTCTCAGCTCTCTTTTTTTTTACGTCTTTTCCTTTCTTCTTCCCGTTTAATCTCTCTTATTGTCCATCAACTTCGAGAGACGTGGCTGAAAGGGGTGGGATTGATCGGCAGAAATGATAAGCTAAATATAATAAAAATTACGGTAAAATCACACCGTACAAGGACATGCATGCGTGGCACGAAAAGAGGTAGATTACCTAGGTATATTATTACTATTGCGCTTTATATCTACTTTCACGATCCCATCTTTAATACTTTCTCAGTTTCTCAGTCTGCTTGATAAACTCTTACGGCTTACAGTACACGGTTACTACTTCGCTTCTTGTCCTCGTACACTATCTCCGATTTTGTGTTTCTATTTCTGTTATTCTCTACACGGTATCACGTAAGAAATCATTTCCCGCTCTCCTTAAAATCGACTTCCTTTATCCGGTAACAATCGAACTTCCTTTAAAACTCAATTGAGGATGCAGGAGAAAACGTATTCAGAATTCCGATTTGGTAATTTTTCTAAAACATATATTTTTCACTTCTCGTGCTGAATACAATTGTTCAACTTTAAATTTTTTTTTGTAAAATTTTAATTTAGAATACGTTCAAAATCTTTTGCAAATAATTATAAAATTGTAAAAAAAAAAGAAAACACTTTTTTACTACGATATTACTGTAATTATTTTAAAATATTCCACTCTTAATCCAAATGTTAAAAGAAACAATAAAAACAAGTGGAATGTAAAGCTTAAAACAAATTTATTTAACGCGAGTATCCATATAAAGCTTTTATCCCGTGTATCACGATTGAAATTATAATATTTCTAAAAAATATTAATTTTCTTTTGCTGGCTGGACAAGCTTTCAAATAAATTATTTATGAGATTTATATTTATGTATTTGTGAGTCTCTGTTTAACTTCAATTTTGTGAGTAATGAAAGAAACATAAAATCCCTTTCACACACACACATACACGTACATAAATACACACACACATTTAATATCGCTCTTGTCAGACCGTCGCGTTACGTTTTGTTCGTTTCTCCACCTTCATCCTGAGTTGCCCATTGTCCTCTTGGCGTCCTGTTTAGAACAGCATGGCTTCCGGCACTCTTTTAGCTAAGAGTCAGCGACGAGTTCGTGTAAGGGTGGGCTGCCCTGTACATTACGTTTCCACCATTTAAGCACTTAGAGATCACGTCGGGACGATTTGTCTTCGAAAGAGGCGTTTACATACTTATATAGAATAGACATGCGGACATGCGATAATATTTTTAGAGAATTTTAGAGAATTTATCAGTTCAATTTAACAGTTCAAAACTTTTTTCTTGAATTTCTGATTATTGAAAATTATATGATGAATAGAGATTAAATAATCGAATAATGATACAAAGTTATCGGTTTAATATTAATTAATATTGAAAATTTTATATATTTATATTTGCCATACATATGCCACAACGATGTAAACATGCATATATATTAAAATAATATGTTAAATATATATATATGTATGTACATATATATGTACAGGATGTTGCATCAACATATCAGTATGTCGGGTTGCGTGACAGATTTTGCAGGGGCAGGGGCGCGGTTCAATAGGTAATGACACCATATACATGTACCATCATAATTTACCGAACGGGTGGATCGTTTTTATATCAATAAAGTTTAGATAGAACTTTCAAAAGACACAATACGCAAAAACTATTTCTCCAAGATTCGTCTTGTCGAAAAACATTTTGTGACCGAGTCTCAGATCAAATAATTCAATCGAAATTAAAGATTGAATATTGAATTAATTTTGCTGCAATTTTTTACATTGGCTGCATTATTCGTATCGCACTCATCGACCATCATCGATTACATTACAATTACTCTATGCTGTGTTTTAGATCGACTCGATTTCTTTCAGGAACTGATTCAAAGTGGAATACCGAGTTGCAATAAACATATTCTTTTCTTTCACTTCTTCTGAAAATTCTATTTAAAATTTTATTAAACATATAACACGAATACGAAAAGTAAATAGAATAAAAAAAAATTTGTACGT